GGTTGAGCTTGTCAGGCAGCTTCCGTCGCACATGAGACTTTGATCCGCTTTGCGCACATTTCACACATTGGCGCTTATTATATGTGTGGCACATCAGTATAGACTTTGCAATTTACTTACATCGCGTTGTGTATACACCCGTTTGCTTTCGTCACAATTCGATTGCCAATTCCTCTGTCTTGTTCGACTTATTAAACAATTATTCTTAGTAGGGAGTGTACCTAGGACCGGCAGGAAACCAAAAGTCTCCTGAGAGGGTGGTAGGCAAACCAGGACTCCCTATGGCCGGCATAACAACTGTAAAGGCATCAAATTGTTGGTTTTCTACAGCATCGTCTCACGAATTGCTTCCCACCACTCCGAAGAAATGCGCTCAATCTTGAGCAGCACTAAACACAACTGAACATAGTCTAATTGAAGCCTCTCCCTACCGAAAATTCTATCGGATTAGAAGTATGTCTGGTGAGTGGGGTGGCTAGGAGCTGCAGGCGGCACGCAAACGCGTCCGTGACCACTGGCGAATTTCTCCCTGAAGCTCCTCCCACCCCACTTGGGCCGCTGGTCTTGTTGCATTCATCTTTACGTACTGCTGTGTGTCTGTGACAGGTACGTTAAAAATGTGAAAATTATTTTGTGGGTAGCTTGCATTGCATTCCGTTAAACACTCCTCTTGACAGTCTGCAGGTACGGGACCAGAGTGATCATCGGCCCCCAGCTCCACCAGTCTGGGCCGTGCAAGGCGTGCAGCGTCTCGCAGCTAAGAATGTGCTTATTGTCGTTTTTTGTTAGTTATTGACGGATGACGTATATTATTTACTACTTGTGGCCCCATCCATTTGGGTTCTTCGCCTTCCACTGCCGAGCCAATTACCCTGTACATGCTACGAGGCCCGCCGGTTGCTTTTTCAAATTCGAGGTAGAGGCATTAGGGGCATCATTCCGTTCCTCGAACCCTGGCGATGCATCCTCCTTCACGTATTCAGGTTGAATCCGCTCCTTCGCCGAGGAGGCAGGCATTTGAAAGTCATTCAGTGCTTTTGGGCAGCACCATGGACAAGGGCGTATATCCAGCGATGGGGACAACTAGCCGGCATTCATGCAGCACGCGTCGAATGTGTGTGGGACTGATCTCTGTACTGGCAGTTGTGGCAATCACGCTTAACTACTTTAGCATTTGTTATGGCTGGAGGGGTCGGGCTACTTTGTCGCGACGGTTGGCCACTAGGGAGCCTGGAGAGGAGAAAGACCCTGTCCTCTCGGCCATCCTTGATATGTGTTTGGACATGGAGGAAGAAATGGGTGGCTGTGACCAAACTGTAGCTGCTCCGTCAGAAGGAATGTGGGGGCCTCATCCGTCATCGCAACTACTTCCTGCGTATCAGCAAGTGCACCAAGAAATTCAGGCGACTCCGTTCTCCTCAGCGATGGGACCATTCCAGCAACCTGCCTCTGCACAGTTTCTACAGCATCGCTGGCCTTCGGCTTTGCAGGCAAAATATGACGCGCGTGGGCCATTCGGAGTTGATCATGCGCTTACCTTTTCCCTCGAAGGGCCTTCCACATCTTGGCAGGGCTCTTCGATGTTGCCACTCAACAGTGGTAGCCCGCTCACGACGGCGAATGAGGAATCTCCGCCTACAGAATATTCGTGGCCTTGGATCACATCTTCACCATTTCAGAATCCGGGCCTAGATAGATCTTCCGAAGTTGCCAGCGCACCTGTTGTCTCAAGCTTACCAGCAGCTGTGCAAATGCTGAGTCCAGTTGGCTCTGAGGGGTTTTTGGCGAATGAACAATTGAACATTCAGCAAAGGGCGGAACACGCTGTCTACTCATCTCTGCAAGAAGATGTGAGGCTGAAGAGGCAGCATGAGGATAGTGGATTCCTCCTCCCCCTTAGCCCAGGGGATTCAGGGGTTCCCCATGTTTTGAAGAGGCAGAGAGCATCGCCAGTGGAGCCACAGCATGCTGTATCTGATTCCAGTACTTCTGCTAGACATTCGGGCGGGTTCATGCCTCAGCTGGGGAGCAGCGCAGCGGTTGCGCAAGGGTTTGCCGGGCCGGGAGGACTGCAGGGTTTTTCACCCTCAAGCTCTGTGCAAACTGCGGGGAATTCTGGGGGCGAGCAAGAAGCAGGTAGTCATTCGCAAACGGCCACTGGAGCTGGAGGTTTGCCGGGACGTCATCCATATTACAAACTGCCCAAGTTGCAGAGGGAGGCAAAATGGAATACGATAACATTTTCGGCAGAATTGGCGTTTTCAGATAATGTCAGCGTAAACATACCGGGCGTCGTTTTGCGAAATTTGCACAACTGTTTCGTAAAAGACACCTTGTCTGTGCTTGAAGCAAACGATGTTATAAAATGTTGTCAGCGGCTTGTAGGTCATCTGTTTGCTTGCCATCGGGCCACAAGAGCGCGGTTTACCCCAGCTGAAGCTGTGGCCACATTGGGGAGGAGATACATAATGCTGGATTTGCTTGTTTGTGCAATTGAGGTTTTGGGTCCGGCGATGGATACCTCGATGTGGTGGGGGAAGCTTGTTGAGGCGGTTCCGTCGCACGTGATTATGACTTCCCGTGAGATTGTTTCAGGTCGCTGCAAGGGCTACTTAGCTCTTGCCGACCGACTAACTGCAGCGATAAGTTTACTAAGGAAGGGCACTAGACCAAGCGAAGAGGAAACGATTGCCCTGAAGCGGGAATTGTTCTGCAGCCCGGATGCTCATCCAGAATTCAAGATGTCCCGATGGGAGCCTTGGAGGAGCGATGACAAGAAAAGAGGAAGAACTCAAGAGCGGTAAGCATGCAGCAGTGCAGTGCCTACTGCTGAAGTGATTGCACGGCATCTTGGCTTGCTCCTGCACATATCGGTGTGAAGAAGCTGAAACGTTTCAGTGGCATTACAGCGAACGTGTAGTAGTTTTTCCTCTGACTTCGTGAAAAAGGCTAAATGAAGGGCAACCTGGAAGCGTGCCTTCTTGGCTGCCGTTCACTCATGAAGGGCTGTATCGGCCGTTGCAAGCCGAAACCTGTTTGAGAAGGGGGGGCATTTGGTGGATAATTTTACAACTGTGCCGAATACTTCCTTCGTGCTTAGGCTGCTGATGTAGTGATACACGGGGACTGATCGTTCGGAAGCCCTATTCAAACTGGCAGCTCTGTGGCAACGAGGTAACTGCGGAGGCACTCTCTTCGTGGGCCTTTTACTTGAACGTTTCTGTATCTAACTGTAGAAGGATGCGCCGACTATCCCCGTTGCAGTTTGCCTCATGCTGCCTCGTGTAACGGTGCTAGTCGGGCCGTTGCTGAAGCTGGCGTGCAATCAGCATAGCAGACGTCGCCACCCAGCGGTCTGCCAAGGCGCCATCGAAAGGAACAGCTTCTGCGGCACCCCATATCATTTACCAGGTGCTTTTAGCAGAGGCCGGAGACGTACTTGGCAACCATATGTTGAACGTTACTGTTGCCACCAAGCCAAGTAAAACTATTCAGGTACGAGGGTACTGCTTTCCGTACTCGATTCCTGGTCGCTTGGATTGTGTTCTGGGCCTGCATACAAGTACACCCTGCGCCTGTTTATTTTTGAACAATGAACCCTACAGCTAGAACCAGCAGACTTTTTGATTCTTACTCACGATGCCAAATCGTCGCCTATAGTTGAAGTGGCAGGTGAGGACCAGATGCGCATTGAAGACGCACAGATTGATGGTTTTCCCGAACATTTTTGCATGAGGCTTCCGCCCAGCAGAACGCACTGAACGTTTGAAGCATTTGCTGATTGTTGTACAACAGTTGGCACTTGCTGAGCAGCA